CCCTCCCCGCCCTGCTCAGTACTGGTTCGGTTTCTGCAGCCGGAGGCGAACCGTGCCATCCCCACGGGGACACGGGCCCCAGGGGCTGCCTGCAGAGCTAGCCTGGCATGGGCTCTGTCTCCACAGCCCAGCGAGCTGCTGGGGAAGGGCAGGGCACCCAGTGAGGAGCTGGGCCTGGCTCACAGTGTCACGGGGATCACAGGGAGAGCTCAGGGATGGATGATGTGGGAGTAACTGGGTGTCACAGGGATGTTGAGTCATACAGGGTGGGCTTTCTGTATGGGGGATGAAGCTGCCAGGCAGTTATCTCCCACAGCAGGCTGTCCCCAGCTGATGTCCCCAGCCTGGTGAAGCACCCCTAAGTGAGACCAGCATCCACCACAGGTCCCAGGCACCTGTAGCCAGCTCCTCTTGCTGCTGGGCTCTGACCTTCCACGCACACCAGCTCCCTTGTGCCACTCCGGTGCGACACCGACAGCTGTGAGCCCTCAGAGCCCTTTTCCCAGGGAAGCCACCCCAAAGTTTGTGAGCCTGAGCTTGGCAGGAGTGGTCTGTGCAGCCAGCGCTCTGCACGGAAGGTGACATGAAGCGAGCTGGCGGGTGGATGGCCGGCGGGTTATGCCTGTGTTGATCACATTATGGGGATACATAAAGGCCATTGAGGTCAGGGCCCCACGTCTTCAGCCTGACACAAAGGACAGGACCTGCCCTAAAGAGCTTAAACCTAAATCTGACTCAGAGCTCCTGGCAGATTCAGACAGCTGCGGGGCGCAGGCAGTTTCCCCGCTCCCAGTGTGGCATTTCTCTGGGCACAGCGTGTTGGTGCAGGAAACAATTGCTTGGCCAGGTCAGGTCCCTCCTGTGTCGGCCAGCATCTCCTTGCCTATCCCAGCAAACCCTGGCCACGGGCAAGGTGTTAAACTGCAAGGCTCCTTGCACAAATCTGAGCCCTGGGGGAGTTCCCTGGGGAGGGAGTGCCCACCCCCTGCCAGGCTCTGGTGCTGTCTCCAGGAAGGATCCTTGCACGGTGACACGACCTCTCCTACCTCCTCTTCCCAGCTACCTGCAGAAAGCCTGGATGGTGCCTGTGTCCCACCTGAGGACACAGGGTACAAAGCAGCTGCAGGCTTCTTGTCACATGCAAGAGCCAGTTTGGATCCACGAGGCACTAAGGGTTGCCCTGAGGTCACCTTTGGAGATTTGGGCCTGTACCTACAAGCAAGGCTGGGGCTAATGGGGGCACCCAAAAGTGGGAGCTGGACTTCCTTTTGCAGGCACCTGTGAAGGTTTTGAGCGGGGAGCCTGGGAGTCCACCAACTGTCGCAGGAGCTTGTGAAGAAAGGCATGGCATGGTCTGTGTGAAGAATGAAAACATCCCAGCCACATCTGCATGTGAATGGAGATGCTGAATTTCATCACATAACCAAACGCTAATCAGCTGCTGCCCCGTGTCTCTTGGCTTTTCCTCCAAAGCCTCTAAGCTTGTCCACTCTCAGAGAAAGGATGTGGATTAGGGGATACTGCAGACAGCTATGTAGCTTCTGCCCAGTGCTCGTGAGCAGCCCCTTTGAGGTTAGACATGTTCTTCCAGCCTTCATCACGGTGAAGGCTCTTGCCTATCCTTGCTTGGCCGCTGCCCATGCTATAATCCTGACAGCCTCCCTGGCCCCTGAGACCCTCGGCTGCCCCAGAAGCTCGGTACTTGGTTTGCATAACTAGAAAAGCTTATTCTAAATCCTGCTAAGCCAGCCCAGGTGGTGGAAGGGAGCTGGCAGATGACAGGGAGCTTCAGGGAGCAAAGCCCACATCCTCCCTGAGTTTTCCACAGGGCAGATGTCAAGTTTGAGATGGGGGCATACGTGTGCATGCTCTGTCATGCTATGAGGAGAGAGAGGACTGAGAGCCAAGCTCATTGAGCTACAACCCTCTGTTCCCACACACATGGGATGACGTTTGCTTGCCCAGACCCTTGGCCCTGCTCTGCTTTAAGAGCCTGTGCAGAATTGTTCTTCTCCACACACATATACTTGTGTATGTCCCAGCCAAGCAGCAGGGTCTTAGTCACGTGCATGAGCAGGCACGTGCGTGTGTCCTGAGCGCCTGTCTCCCCACAACGTGTTGGAGTCTCTAAGGCTGAACCTGGGTTTCCTTTCTAACTAGCTGTGTCCTGCCTCTCCCCCCTGCCCTGCTCCACCCCCCATGCTCCCTCCCTGCAGGTTTTACTGGGACCTAATCATGCTGCTTCTGATGGTGGGGAATTTGATCATCCTGCCTGTGGGCATCACCTTCTTCAAGGATGAGAACACACCTCCCTGGATCGTTTTCAATGTGCTTTCGGACACTTTCTTCTTGGCTGACCTGGTGCTGAACTTCCGAACAGGCATTGTGGTAGAGGACAACACAGAGATCATCCTTGACCCTCACACCATCAAAATGAAGTACTTGAAGAGCTGGTTCCTGGTTGACTTCATCTCCTCCATCCCAGTTGACTACATCTTCCTCATCGTTGACCTGGAGACCCAGGTGGATTCCGATGTCTACAAGACAGCCCGGGCCCTGCGCATTGTCCGCTTCACCAAGATCCTCAGCCTGCTGCGCCTGCTGCGCCTCTCACGCCTCATCCGCTACATCCACCAGTGGGAGGAGGTGAGAACCCCTTGGGGGGCGTCCAGGGCCCTGGTCAGGGCCTTGGGCCAGGTGAGAGACCCCTGGCTGTTGGGTGCAGCTATCCTGGGAAAAAAGCTTCTCTGTAGCTCCACTCCTGCCTCTTCCCCAGATCTTCCATATGACATATGACCTGGCCAGTGCTGTGGTGAGGATCTTCAACCTCATTGGCATGATGCTGCTGCTGTGTCACTGGGATGGCTGCCTCCAGTTCCTGGTGCCCATGCTGCAAGACTTCCCCGAGGACTGCTGGGTCTCCATCAACCACATGGTGGTGAGTGTCCCGGGCAGGGGTGATACTGGCTGGGCATCTACCAGGGGAAAAAAAGGATTTGGTTACACATCTTGCACTCCAAGGCTGGAGCTGCCTGGATGCATGTGCTGCAGAGCAGCATCTTTCTGATGACAGCCCTGCAACATCAGGGAGGTAGGGTAGAGGGAATCTCTGCATCACATTCCCATCTCAGCCCACCTTGGCTGCAAAGGGAAGCCCTCGTGCCCTGCCAGGAGGAAACAGGGCAGTGGGGCTCCTGTCTCCTCCCCAGAGAAGGGGCTGGTGCAGGCTCAGGGCTTCACACAGTCCCTAATGCCTCCTCCTGGAGCAGAGCTCTGCCCCTTGGCCTTGGACACATCAGAAACCTTTTTCTCACTGGGACTCTGGACTCCTTGGCTCCGGGAGGGGGGAGTGGAGGGTTCAGCCCAGCAGCTCTTTCCGACAGACCCCCACCACCGCTGTTCCCTTGTCTGCAGAATGACTCCTGGGGGAAGCAGTACTCACACGCCCTGTTCAAGGCCATGAGCCACATGCTCTGTATCGGCTATGGCCAGCAGGCACCCGAGGGCATGACCGATGTCTGGCTTACAATGCTGAGCATGATCGTGGGGGCCACCTGCTACGCCATGTTCATCGGCCACGCCACCGCCCTCATCCAGTCACTGGACTCATCCAGGCGCCAGTACCAGGAGAAGGTCAGCGGGGTGGGGTAGTGAGTGCCTGAGTACCGGGGGAAAACTCCCTGGCATGAGGGTGGTACAGCTCTAGAACAAGCTCAGTGCAGGCTGACCCTCCCCTGCCAATTCCTACCCTGATCTCTGCCCTTGCCACTCACCTGGATGGTGTGGGAGGGGGGACAGGCTGCCCATTTGGATAGAGACGTCCCATTCATGACATTGGGGTTCACCCTAGCATAGTAAGACCCTCTGGGTCCCATCCTCTGCCCCAGAGGTCGCCTTCGGGGCCCCTGGAGCAGGAGTGCCTGGATCCCAGCTCTGGCAGCAGCTGCTTCTCACCGCCAAGGAGAGGGAAGTCGTTGGCCTGCTGTGCCACCAGCCTTTGGCATGGTGCAGTTTGTTTCAGTGCGGCCCTGCGTGGCTCTGCCTTGTCCCCACAGTACAAGCAAGTGGAGCAGTACATGTCATTCCACAAGCTGCCTGGGGACACGCGCCAGCGGATCCATGAGTACTATGAGCACCGCTACCAGGGCAAGATGTTTGACGAGGAGAACATCCTGGGGGAGCTCAGTGAGCCGCTCAAAGAGGTATGGGCAGACACCCCAGTGACTTGTGGTAGGGGGGCCAGTGCTTGCTGGGGTCAGGCTTGGTGGTGTCTCTGCTGACCTGCTCTTCATCCCACAGGAGATCATCAACTTCAACTGCCGCAACCTGGTAGCCAACATGCCCCTATTTGCCAATGCAGACCCCAATTTTGTGACAGCCATGTTGACCAAGCTGCGCTTTGAGGTCTTCCAGCCTGGGGACTTCATCATCCGCGAGGGCACTGTGGGCAAAAAGATGTACTTCATCCAGCACGGGGTGGTCAGCATCCTCACCAAGGGCAACAAGGAGACAAAGCTGACTGATGGCTCCTACTTTGGGGGTGAGGCTGAGCTGGAGAACCTGGAGATCAGAGGGGAATTAGACCTGCTGGGGTCAGGAGCTGGGGCATCCCTGATGTTTCTGCCTCCTGCATTCTCTGTCTGTCCCCTCTTGCCCAGTGCCAAAGACCTGGCATCCACCTCACACTGGGCTCTGGGGCTCTGAAGTTCACTACCCCTGTTCTTATGGGAGACCTTGTCCTGCAGGTGGAATCAGAGGGACCAGCACACAGAGCTTTGAATTCTGGCTGGCCTGGGCAGAGAGGGCATCCACCCACCCCACCTCTGGCTGGAGAGGAGGATGGTTTAGAGCAGAGCATCTGAGACAGTTTATAGGCTACAAGCACAGATCTGGGAGAGAAATGGGCCAGGCAATCACAGCAGCTCTGCCCAGGGGTGTCTCCACAGCCTTGGGAGGCAGGGAAAGGCTGTGCCTGGCTGAGAGCATGCCCGTGGGTGTCCAGACTCTCGGCTCTGTCCCTCCTCCCGAGTCACACTGTTTCTGCACAGGGTGTGGGAGTGCCAGGCAGTCCTGCCGCTGCTCCAGCTGCTGTGACCTGGGGAGGCTGTTGGGAACGGAATGGATGGCTGCATCCTGACACCCAAACTGTCTCCCTGCAGAAATCTGCCTGCTGACACGGGGCAGGCGAACGGCCAGCGTGCGAGCTGACACCTACTGCCGCCTTTACTCCTTGTCAGTGGATAATTTCAATGAGGTGCTGGAGGAGTACCCCATGATGCGCAGGGCCTTCGAGACCGTGGCCATGGACCGACTGGACCGCATAGGTGAGGAGCGGCCCCTGGGCCCAGCACGGTCACCTCTGCACCTCCTCCCATAGGCCACAGCCCCCCAGCCCCGTGCACGTTGGCATCATGAACCCCATGGATCACGGCACCCCAGCCCTGTGGGTGGGCCAGCAATGAGGATGAGGGGAAGCACAGGAAAGGAGCCTGCCTCCAGGGTCCTTCTTTCCTCCCAGGCAAGACCTGGGCAATGATGTCTGACAGGTTTCCCGGGGGGCGGGCTGTCACCCCACACAGATATACTTGCTGCACTGTCTGGTGCTGCCAGCTGCCTGTCCTTGTCCCCCATCAGGACCCCAGCCCCCAGCCTGGAACCTTTGGAGCCAGGACTCCCCTGTTTTGTCCCTGCTTCTCCCTCTGCCCCAGCCTGGACCCTCCTCAGAGTCTTGATTCCCTTCAGCACACTAGTGAGGTTTTACTGTCCCTTCTCCACGGACACTCTACCCTCCATGGTGTCCCTGAGAGCCAGTGCTCCCAGGACCAGTGACACTGCTGCCTCCCACTCAGGGAAGAAGAACTCCATCTTGCTCCGCAAGCGAGCTGAGCACAGCACGGGGCCCATGAACAACGAGATGATCCAGCAGATTGTGAAGCACGACCAGGACATGGCCCACAACATCCAGGACCTGCAGCAGATGGCACTGGGCCGGGAGCTGAGTGGCAAGCCCGTGATCTGGGAGCCACTGGTGCATGCGCCCCTGCAGACAGCTGCGGCCACCACCAACGTGGCCATTGCCTTGACTCACCAGCACAGCCTGCAGGCCCACATCTTCCTGCCGCCCTCCTCCATCTCCAGCCCGCTCTCCCCAGAGGCCACCCTGCTCACCAAACAGGTGCGCAGGTCCCAGCCCAGCCTGGGGGGCTCCCGGCCCTCCTCCGTGAGCTGGTGCATGCGCCCCTGCAGACAGCTGCGGCCACCACCAACGTGGCCATTGCCTTGACTCACCAGCACAGCCTGCAGGCCCACATCTTCCTGCCGCCCTCCTCCATCTCCAGCCCGCTCTCCCCAGAGGCCACCCTGCTCACCAAACAGGTGCGCAGGTCCCAGCCCAGCCTGGGGGGCTCCCGGCCCTCCTCCGTGAGCTCTCCTTCAGGGGCACCGTCCCACCTGCAGACG